AATTAAATTTTACTCTATTGTATATGCATCTTGGAAATTATACAAGCTTGTCACACCAAAATTGGCGGTGGTGTTTGACTCCAAAAACTGGCCCCACAATGCCACTGACGTAAACTAACGCCCTTTCGATCTGTCCTGTATTATGTCACACCGCCTTGCTTTCAAGTGAACGGTAGTCAGTGTATATATATATATATATATATATAGTGTCCGCACATTGACAGCGCACAGGTTGTTGTCAGCACACGGTAGCCTACATCATCGGTCATGTTGGTAATAACAAAAATAACGGAACTCACTGTGGCTTTGGTCGTTAAATATATCGCATCTTGACCGATTGATGACACTTCAGGAGAGGTTTTCATTATTGTTTTTACTCTCGATGCAGGAAGATTTAATCCCTTGCCTTCTTTTTCCGCCATATTTTAAATCTCAACTTGACATTTTCAGATTGTTGTTCGAAAAATAGATGTCAATGCTTCTTCTCCTAACCTTTATTTACCTGTCTTATTACATAGTTAGTGTTGTGAAATTATCATTCTTAATAAGTTTTTAGTACAATTATAGAGTGAAATATTTATTATTTTCTCAGTAAATTTTAAACAATTTTATTTAGTGTTTGAAGTCACGGAGCGAAAATTCAACAATATTCTCAGTCATGTTTAACAAATCCAATAATGGCGATGTCTTGTCGCTGATTTGAAATTGTCGATCCTTTTTTTCTGTTTCCCGTCGATGTCAACTCTGACCGTCATGTTGTATATGATTTGTAAGGTATTTTGAAAATGTGAACAAACAATTGAACTCATACTCAACAACCGTAAAAACCGGTAGGTTACTTTATCAATTGCGTTACTTGTACCGTACCGTACTTGTATGTGTCTGGAACAAGTGACGCCCCCATCATCATCAATATTATTATTCTATTAGACTTTGTTATTTTCATTACTAATTGACGATCGTATTGTTTCGCGTTAAATCCTGCAAAATATTTCAGCGATCAAGCTGTTTATTTTGTGTAAATGATAGTGATCGATCAACAGATATTCCAGCAAGTTGATTAATGATAGAAATACTGTCAGTGAAATGTCGCTCATTCAATTGAACCACAGTCCCTCTATCGGATAGAAATAACGATACTCGAATACAGTGTTATTCAGCAGTTGTCCTACAGTAGGCTACTGTTCAGAAATGTTTGTTTATATATATATATATATATATATATATATATATATATATAAACTAGCGTCAATGTGTTATAAATTTCTGATGACAATTTGCCATCACATTGCCTCTATGAATGTTTGTCCATAATGATGGTAGTGTATTTTCTGTATTAGTATTGCATGTGTTTACCTAAATGTCAGTGGTGTGTCTCTTGCCAAAAGAAGTATTATTTGAACAGACCAATATGCAGATTACAGATTCTAATCTAATGGCAAATATGGTAGTAGCCTAACATGGTTGGCAATAGTTATTGCACCCCAGACGCCAGACACAATACTACATAGTTTATATCGGAGACATCATAATCATTAACAAGTCCACATCAATATGAAAATTTGTGCTTACAACTGGTTTTTA